CAGCTACTCAACCAAGTGGAGATGAAGTTCAGCCATCAAATGAAGACAATCCACCGCAGCAAGTCACCGTTCCATCACCACCAAAGGAGCAGCAGCCAACAGTCACAAACCAGCCAGCTATATCAACACCAACCTCACAATTTCAACGCCAACCGGATCAGCCCACCACTACGCCATCAAACCCATCACCAGCCATCACTCCAGAGGCAACTACAGAAGCTCATCATCATCCCATGCAGCAGCAATCAACAGCTACAAGACCCCAAGTACCTACATCAACACCATCTACGACTCTTCCTAGCAACAAGTCAACCGTCACCGCAACACCTCGTTCTCATACCACACGTTCATCACTTGTTCCAACGTCAAGCCAGCTCATAGCACGAGGATCACTTCAGCGAGTCACCACCAACACCAGCTCCAACACTCCACTTCTTCACCCAAGACCTTTCTCAACTTCACCCCCACGTCCCGGATTCGGTCGTCATCAGTTACCACCATCTTCAACACCGAGCAACAACACCAACCAGCCCCAACCATCACCACCTCTCGATAAGGCAGCGTCATCATCAATTCCCAAGCTTCTAGTCTCAAGATCCCCACCAAGAGCATCTTCACAACCAACTATGCCGACAAACGTTTCAGCTTCACCGCCACGAGTCACCATACCTAATCCTCAAGTCAACACCGATAATCAAGATATTTCCACGCCAGGAGAAGAACAAGCAGCCGTGCCGCCGTCGCAGCCGATGTCGCAGCCGTTGTCTCAGCCGCAAATGACCGCATCAACGCAATCAAACACTGTGAGACCGAACCCTACCACTAATGTGTCTCAGCCAACTGAGGAGTTTGGTAAAGGTAAACGAGTCCGCAAGGTAAAAAAGCCCTTCAATTTCATGGTTGACATGTCATCAAGGTGCACATGTGAGGAGAGTGAGAATTGCATTCACAAGAAGGTAGAGTCAATATGCATGGCAGCATCACACCTTCCGCGAGAGCCCTTGAGTCGTCGTGAGGCAATGGCAAGTCCCGAAAGAGAGCATTGGTTGAAAGCCGAGGAAGAGGAGATTGAGAGTCTCATGAAGCGAGGTACATGGCGTCTTGTTGAGCCACCTCCAGGGAAGAAGGTAATTGGTGTCAAATGGGTGTACAAGATCAAGGTAAAAGGTGATGGTAGCCTCGATAGGTACAAGGCAAGGTTAGTGGCAAAAGGTTATTCCCAAATTCCAGGTCTTGACTTCACCGAAACCTTTGCCGTGGTAGCAAGTACACCACGGTACGAGTCCTCCTCGCCATAGCCGCATATCTTGGTCTCCATATCCATCAAATGGATGTCAAGAACGCATTTCTCTACGGTGTCTTGGAAGAAGAGGTATACATGGCACAACCCGAAGGTTATGATGACGGTACGGGTCGAGTGTGTCGCTTGGTAAAGTCCCTTTATGGTCTCAAACAGTCCCCACGGGTTTGGTATCATGCTCTTGAGCAGGTACTTTTCAAGCATGGTTTCACAAGGTCCATGAGAGACAACGCTCTGTACTTCATGCACACGAGTGAGGGGGAGTACATTTGGCTCTTGGTATATGTCGATGACCTCCTCCTAGTCTCAAGTTCTCTTGATCTTCTCAACAAGGTGAAAGGTATTCTCACGAGTGCATTCACGATGACCGATCTTGGTGAGCCGAGTCATTATCTTGGTATGAACATTGTGAGAGATCGTAAGTCACGGTCCATCTTCCTATTCCAGCAAAGGTACATCCAAAAGGTCCTTGAGAGGTTTGGTCTTGATGATAGCAAGCCATCACCTACCCCACTTCCTTCCAAATTTGTCCCTTTGTCTTCACATCAGCCCTATGAAGAGAGAGAGTCAAGCCTTGATATCATAGGTATTAAAGAGTTGTGTCTTGAGGAGAGTGAGCATCATGGTGAGAATTCACTTAAGGTATCCCCACAAGACCTAGCTCTGTACCAAAGTCAGGTTGGGTGTCTCATGTATGCAGCCCTATGCACAAGGCCCGACTTAGCATTCACGGTATCTAAGCTAGCTCAACACATGAGTGCCCCTTCACCTATTCATATGCATGCAGCCAAGCGAGCTCTTCGGTATCTCAAAGGTACTTCTAATCATGGTCTTCTCTTCCAAGCCAGCCCATATGCAAGCTCCCTCCAAGGCTTTACCGATGCAGATTGGGCGGGAGAATTGAGCACACGCAAATCTACCGGCGGCTACATCTTCCTCATGTGTGGTGCCGCTGTTTCTTGGCAATCGTGCAAGCAAAGTTGTGTGGCACTTTCAACAACCGAAGCTGAGTACATGGCAATGACCGAAGGAGCAAGGGAGGCAATCTGGTTACGTGGACTCTTGGAGGAATTGAGGCAGCCGCAAACTCAACCAACTCCGCTCTACGTGGACAACACTTCAGCCGTAGCTCTTTCCAAGAACCCGGTTCATCATGGGCGTACAAAACACATCGAGGTGCAGTACCACTTCATTTGTGAGCAACTAGAGAAGGGAGTTATCGCCGTCAACTTTTGCCGTTCATTCGATCAAGCAGCAGATTTCATGACCAAGGTTCTTCCACATGATGCATTCAACATGTGCAAGGCAAGAGCAGGCCTCATGACACTTCATGAAGCAGTGGAGCAGTTTGAGGAGAATGAGGAGTGTGAGGGGAAGAGACGTGGGCAGCAGCATGAAGTGTATGCTAAGGAGATGTGAAAGGAGCATCAGCATGGGTGTATGTGTGCTTCGGGTCTGGTGCGAGGGGGAGTGTTGGAGAATCGAGTTTCTGCCGCCCCAGCCCTTTGCACACAAGCAGCAGCAAGGGGGAATGTCGGCGATGAATCAGAGCTTCGGGAAGTACTTCGAAAGTTCCACCACCAATCAGATTTCAGCCGAAGACTCGATATAGTTCAAAGCTGCCTTCAAACCGAAGTGTTGGCAGTTTCTACAGGTTTCTACACATCAGAATCAGCTATAACAGAAATATCCAGAGTTTTCTTATTCATGCACCTCATGTGGCACTCAAAGTCACTCAAGGTCCATCCAATCTAGATTGTGCCCAAGTTACCAGGGAAGTTACATTGTCTATCAGCCTAGTTTGAGCTTTCAATCTGTCTTGTTTGTGATGCCTAGAGTTGTGCTTTAGTGGGCTTGTTAATCTTGAACATAGTGAAGTTTTACCTCATCCAGTCAATTCCAGCAGCCCTGCTAAGACTTTCCAGCCAAGTTTCCAGCCCTCCAGTAGTCACAGCTACTCTGTTTTACAAGTCAGTTTCACCTGCCTGCCATATTCTGCAGGACGAAGAGAGAGACATCCGTGAGCTCTGGTGGAATCGGCAGGAAATGGCTGACTGCTGATCCTGGTGACTAATCTCAGTAAGGGTTTCAATTATTGGAGAACAGGACATGGCAGACCTGATTTGATATCTGAGCCTGAATTGGGCGACCCAGTTGAATTTTACTAACGACGACTGGGTGTACGCCGCACTGTTTCCGCGCTGAAAGACGCCGCGCTTTTCCCGCCACGCTTCAGAGCGACATGTTGTTTGGACAGAAGTTCGTGGCAGGTCCTCACCGTCGATCCCATCCGCATCCGACGGTGACGAGTGGATTGTCCCGGCCAGACGCGTCGGCTTCTACTAACGCAGCTGAGCTCGCTGGGCTGACATGTGACACTAGCGAGCGGTTGAATGCGGATAGTGACGAAATTGATCACGGCCATCCGCGTCATAGACATATTCAGGATGTGCATAATGCACAACCGGATGCGCATTCGCACGCTGAACGCAATTCTCGTTCCCCTAATCCCAGAAGCCCTGAAAATGCCGACTCCGTGACTGCTCGCAGCCAGAGCACTTCTCCTGACGGAAAAGCTTCATACAGTACGCTTGGAGCAGCTAATAAAGCGTCTGTTACCAAGCCCCTATTGGACAAGAGCGGGGTTGCTAATATCGCGAGTGGAGACGGTGGTGGGAGGAGGTCCCGATGGCGTGTCTGCTCCTGCTGTCCGCATTTAAACAGAGATCAAGGGTCAGCCATTGTTGTGCTTATAACGGGGCTGGCTCTAGTGGGGCTACTCGCGGGTTTGGACGTTTGGATAGAAGTTATGAAGCTAAAGGGAGAGATAGGGGAATTAGGGGATGATGAAAGCGGGGATGGTGGGGGGATAGGGGGAGGAGGAGCTAAGAAAAGACACAGGGTATGTGAAATGCCTCCGGGGGTGTTTAAATCGGTGGAGAAGGATTTTTTAGGGCGCATTCCGGAGTTTCCGAAGCTTAAAGAGGCTTTGAAGCAGCCAGGAGCGATGAATTACTTGAAGCTCATTCACCGGTACCTTGAGCCATGGCGACCCATCGCTGTGAGTGCGACTGATTGCTTCTCCCATGCCATTGATCTTATCATGCACGCCATGCCGTGCCTGAAGCACTCCAATTCATCCACATTTCACTGAATTCATTATCCTGCTTGCCAATTCTGGTCTCACGTATCATCAGAACAATCAGCTCTGTGCCCGAGGCTTCGTGACGCCTGAGGCACTCGAATTCATCAGCATTTCACTCAATCCGTTTTCCTGCTTCGTGCATCGCATATCCTTACTTGCCAATTCTGGTCTCTCGTATCATCAGAACATGAGTGCTGGTCTGGGGCACAGAGGCTTTGTGACGCCTGCACTTATATTCAGTCGTCAATATTCTATGTCTTTTTCTTTTGCTCCTCCCATCTCCTCGCATGCTTCAGAACACCAGTGCTGGTCTGGGGCACAGAGGCTTTGTGACTCCCGAGGCACTCGAATTCATCAGCATTTCTCCGAACCTGATGTCCTGCTCCGGGCATATCAAGGTAAGTGCAACGTCCTGCTGCACAATCTAAATTAAATTCAGTGAACGTTGCATATATTTTTACCAATGGTTTCAGGGGGTTAAAGAAACACTTCTACCTTACTGAAATGTATTTGCACGGGCCGTTGGTTACTTGTCATCTGTTATCATGGCAGGTTATGGACGGTAAAGTGTATTTCCGTTACGGTGGCTTCTGGAACCGCTACTACCGCCTTGGGAGGTTCCTCCAAACAGTCAAGATGCTTCAGGTGAGTCAACGCTAGTCAAGGGGTGATACTATGCTAGGCATGGGATTCAACGCCAGTCAAGGGGTGATAGGCAGGTCAGTCAACGCCAGTCAAATGCTAGGAACGTGCAAACCCCATGGCCTTCCCCAGCTCATACCAGTCACATGTCACCACCCCATGCCCTTCCCCTCTGCCTGCATTTCCCCTTAACCCTTGTTTAAACCATCCACCTGGCAGGACGCAGTGACGCAGTACCGCCTCTCCTCTTTCCGCCTCGAGTTCTTCCTCAACATGTGCGACCACCCCATGGCCTTCCCTTCTCCCTGCCCTCCCTCCTGTGCGCCCTATCAAATCCACAAACCACCTGTTCTGCAGGACGCTGTGACGCAGTACCGCCTCTCCTCCCTGCGCCTCGAGTTCTTCCTCAACACGTGCAACCACCCCATGTCGTTCCCCCTTTCCTGCATTCCCCCCTCCCTTCTGCACATTCCACCTTCCCCCCTCCAGGACGCAGTGACACAGTACCGTCTCTTCTCCCTCCGTCTCGAGTTCTTCCTCAACACATGCGACCACCCCATGTCGTTCCACAGCTCGCACTGGCCGAATAGAGGCGGGCTGCCCTTCATGAGCACGGGATTCACAGCAGATACGATCGACATTCCAGTGCCAGACCCGCTTGACCTCACAGGGCCATACACCCCAGACCTCAGCACCCAGGTACGTGTGTGTGGGTGTTGTGCGTCCCAAATGCTTCTTAGTCACAGCTCACACTGGCCAAACAGGGGCGGGCTGCCGTTCATGAGCACTGGATTCACAGCTGATACGATTGACATTCCAGTTCCAGATCCGCTTGACCTCACAGGGCCATACACCCCAGACCTCAGCACCCAGGTACGTGTGTGTGGGTGTTGTGCGTCCCAAATGCTTCTTAGTCACAGCTCGCACTGGCCAAATAGAGGCGGGCTGCCCTTCATGAGCACGGGATTCACAGCAGACACCATCGACATTCCAGTCCCCGACCCACTTGACCTCACAGGGCCCTACACGCCTGATCTTTCCACTCAGGTATGCGAGAAGGCCTGCGTGTCTGTGACCTTCTCCACGCTTGTGTGTCTGTGAGCAGGGTGGTGTTATTGTGTGAGCTGCTCTCCTCATCACTCCTCTTTCAACCCCACGTTCCTTCCCTTCCAACGCCCCCATTCCCCCCAGACTCCCTGGGAGAAGATTGAATCTGGAGCAGGTTTTAGCAGCAAAACAACAAATAACGAGCTGCTGGCAGCCGGGAACTCGGGGCAAACCCACGCATTCCCTCCCACCCCCCACCTTCTAATCCCTTACCGTCTGTCTTCCTTGCTGCAGATCCCCTGGGAGAAGAAGGAATCGCGGGCAGTGTTCCGAGGCAAAACAACCAACTACGAGCTCCTTCCCGCAGGCAACTGGGGGGCCAACCCACGCATCCGCCTGCATTTACTGCTTCCCACCTGATGGACGTGCGTGTGAATGCATGGTCCAAGCCAAGGTGGAGAAACCCTGTGTATCCCCCTCTCCCTCCCCTCTCCCTCCCCTCTTCCTCCCCTCCGCCTCCCCTCTTCCTTCACTTCGAACGTCCTCAATTTCCCAGATCCCCTGGGAGAAGAAAGAGTCTCGAGCGGTGTTTCGAGGCAAAACAACCAACTATGAGCTTTTACCAGCGGGCAACTGGGGGGCCAACCCGCGCATCCGCCTGCATTTAATGTCCCCCGCAGCGCCCCACCTCATGGATGCTCACATCAACGCGTGGTCCAAGGTGGAGCAGCATGTGGTGAAGAGGATAGTAAAGGATGGGGTCAGGCTCGCCAGGAAGATGAACTTCCAGCAGTTCAACGCCTTCAAGTACCAGGTGGGTGCAAACATCCACATGTTCAACTCCAACATTTTTGGGGGGGGGGGGGGGGGGGGGGGGGGGGGGGGGGGGGGGGGGGGGGGGGGGGGGGGGGGGGGGGGGGGGGGGGGAAATCCCCTGCTCGGTGTTTGAGTTGAGGCGCCTAAAAAATCCCAACATTTTGGGGGGGGGGGGGCCGGGGGAGAATCCCCTGCTCGGTGTTCGAGTTGAACCGAACAGGAGTTTAGGGGTTTGGATGTGTGTGCACGTATGTGCATGTGTGCACGTTTGTGCATGCGTGCATGTGTGTATGTGTGCCTTTGCCTTTTCCCTCTCTTCACTCCCCCCATCCTTCCCTCTCCTTCCTTCCCACCTGTGACAGATAGTGGCGGACGGGGGGGGAGGCAGTTGTCGCAAGTGTGGGGTGCTGTGCTCAATTCTCCATCCCTTCCTTTTCCCCTTTCCCACTTCTCGCTTTTCTTCACGTGCCTTCTATTTTTCACTCAGATAGTGGCAGACGGGGGGGGAGGCAGTTGTCGCACGTGTGGGGTGCTGCGATCCAACCAGCTCATCATAAGGCAGCACACGCCCATGCTGCAGTTCTACGAGCCTCTGCTGCAGGATCGGGTGCACTGGCTCGCCACCTCCCGAACGTGAGTCTCTGGTTCGTCACCTTACAAACGTGAGTCACTGGCTTGTTATGCATCTGTTTTTTCTATCTTGCAGCTCAACCCACTCCTTTCAATCCCCCTCTATTCCTCCAATAAATGTACCCCTTCAAAACCCTCTGCGACCCTTCGAAACCCCTTCTTCCAGCTTCTCAGACCTACACGAGGCGATCATATGGGCGCAGCAGCACGACAAGGCAGTTCTAAGGATGGTGGAGGCAGCCAATCGGTTTGCAGACCATGCATGCACGTGGCACGGGCGCATGCTGTACTGGGCTCTTCTTCTCGTGAAGTACCAAGACGTTATGGCTGAACCTGAAAGAGTCTCAAAGCCTGCCCAGCTGTGCTTGAAACCGTGAGTTTCAGAGCGAGGGGAGGGGAGGGAGGGAGGGAGGGAGGGAGGGAGGGGAGGGATGTGAAATTGTGGAATGAGTGTGATGGTGGTGCACGTGGCACGGGCGCATGCTGTACTGGGCGCTTCTTCTGGTGAAATACCAAGACGTCATGGCTGAGACTGAGAGGGTTTCAATGCCTGCCCAGCTGTGCTCTAAGCCGTGAGTCCAGTCACAGGGGAGGTGGACAAAGGGGAGAGCAGGAAGAGGTGCACGTGCCCAAGCGCATGCTGTACTGGGCTCTGCTGCTCGTCCGTACCAAGGAGTAATGGCTGAGCCTGAAAGGACTTCCAAGCTACTCAGCTGTGCTTGAAGCCGGCAGCAGTCTTATGCAGCGACCCTGACAGGGATAAGAAGCAGCCAGAGTGTGCGTTCTGTCCTTCCAACCCCCTGCTTTTCTCCCCCATAACACCACGCTCTCCCCTTCCATCTCACCCCCATTGCCTTTCCTCCCCCATATCAGCATCGTGGCAGCAACAGGGGTGGAGAAGGAACCAGTGTCAGTCTCATGCAGCGACCCTGGCAGGGAGAAGAAGCAAGCAGCCACAGGGACCAGAAATTACCCCCCTTCCCCCTACAGCCCCTCTCTCCTCTCTCCTATCAGCATCATGGCAGCATCGTGGCAGGAACAGGGTTGGAGAAGGTTCCAGCGTCAGTCTCATGCAGCGCCCTGGCTGGGAGAAGAAACAACCATTATGATCAGGCATACCCTTCCTCTTCTCCTCATCCCAACTCTCTTTCCACGATCAACCCACCTGTCCCTTTCCCCTTTCATCCCCTTTCCCTGTCACGCTCGTCCCGTTGCTTTCAACCCTCCATCACAGCATCGTGGCAGCAACAGGGGTGGAGAAGGATCCAGCATCGGTCATATGCAGCGACCCTGGCAGGGAGAAGAAGCAGCCAGAGTGTGCGTTCTTCTGTGCTGGGGGGATTATTCCTCCAGAAAGTTTCAAGTGGTTACCAGCTGAGTCGCTTGACAAACTGGAGAGAGTAGGACCTCCGTAACACATGGTAACACACTGTATCATTCATTCCTGTAAACGTTGTTTCGTATTGTTCACGATATACGCCAATGCAGTGCAGTGCAGATGCAGAAAATCCCAATTGCATCTTATGGTACCAAACTTGACACATTAAGGTATATCACTCATACCACCTCTCATCACATGTTGCAATATAGCATGTTGTACCATAGTAATACGGTACGGTATGTCTGAGCAACAACCCTGGCATCGCAATGTCGGGCAGAATTGTGCACTGCATACCCAACATGTCTCAGATGCCGTTAAACTCGAGCACTAGCACAACACCAATAAACAGGGCAGATGGGTACGGCAAGGTACCACATGGGGTACAGTACAACCCTGTTCTCCAACAAGCAATCTGGTTAGATACCTGATCAGTAGAGATTTTTCCATGGGTCCTGCCTTTATTTTACGGTACTAGGTAGCTGCTTTCACTGGCATCCAGGCTTCAACCCAGCCATTCACATTCTGAGAACCAGCAAAGCACTTGTGCAATTCTCTCACACCTTGTCATCATTAAGATAAGGATCCACACCACCACAGAAACCTTACAGAACAGTGTGCAGCAATATGTTGTAAACAAACTGTGCATAAAAATCCATAGGCCCCGGTGTACAGTAATGCAGGCAATCCCAAGGCGTTTCTTCAAACCAGCTGGTATGCCCATCCGGCCTCAAGGCCATCACCCCCTCCACATCCATATAAATCCCTCCCACTTCCGCCACCAACCGCCTTGCCAGCTCATTTTGCCGCACAAACCCGCCCCAATTAAACGGTAAAACCTCCTTCGGCTGCCGTTCCGCTAACGGCCCCAGATTCTCCGTACAATTAAAATGCCCTGGGGGAGTGTTCCTGTAGATAATCAGCTTATTCGGAAAGTTTTTCCGGACGAATCGCAGCGCCCGCCGCACGTCCCTCACATATGCTTCGTCATCAGTAAAATGGGCTCCTCTATTGATTAGGAGCACGTCAGAGTCTACTAATGCGCCGTGCTGGGACCAGGGAACGCTTTCTTTGGCAACGAATGTGTCTCCCACTGTGAGCCAGCGGTTGGAGGTGAAATGCATGGCGAACGCACCGGCGTCGCTGCTGCTGCTGCCGTTCGTGCCGATACCCCCTGCTGCGGCAGCAGCAGGATCAGCAGCAGCAGCACCTGCAGCACCAGCAGCAGCAGGACCAGTACCACCACCGCCACTACCAGCAGCAGCAGGATCACCAGCAAAAGCCCCAGGGCAAACGTCCTGCGAGGTATTGAAGAAGTTCATATGGCAGTGCACGTGCGGTTTATGCTCCACCCACTGATAGCAAATCGTGCGGTTTAAAGCCCACGCCGCACTCTTCTTAACGTGCCACAGCATATGGTTGAGAAACGTGGCTGCAAACAGGTTCTGAAGGGAGTCTCCTACGATGTAGACTGTGAATCCCTTGTGCATTCTCCGAGGATCATCCATCCACCGCTCCCCTGCTGCTGCTGCTGCCGCTGCTACCGAGGATGAGTCGTTGCTCCAGAGCCTGTCGCGCCTTGTTTCGGCTGCCCCAGCTGCCCGCTTGCAAAAATTCAGCCCGTCAAATTTCTTCCACACTGGAACCTCCTCGTTTGTATCTTCTACCCCAGCAGCACCACCCGCGGAAGCAGCTTCCGGACCTAACTCTGCCTCTACCACTTTCTTAAGCGCCGCAGCCCCACACTTATCCTCCGGAACCAAATACTCGTACTTAAGTGTTTCTCTTACCGTCCACTTATCCGGACTCGTCCCTTTCAACACCAGCTCATCGGCTCCCCACGTCGCTTTCCCCTTGCGCTTCTCCACCTGCTTGTGATCGCACATGTTCATAAACCCCGTGTATTCCCAGGGGAGAGTGCGAGGCGTGGCGTTAAACACCCACCTCCCCTCCCTCAACACACACTCCATCCACTTGTTGAAAAGAACCACCTGTCGCTTGGTGTGCAGGCGAGTGCCGGGAATATGATCCGAGTAATCCGGAAACAGAGGAGGAGCACGGGACTTCCCCTCTGCTGTCTTGTTCCCACTCCCCTCCTCACTCACACCCCCTCCTGCTCCTTCTCCTCCTTCCCCTCCTCCCGCCCCCTCTGTCTCGTCCTTTTCAGGCAGCACGGTCAGATTAAACAGCCGCGTTTCGAACGCCCCTGTGCCGCCCTCGGCTGCAGCAATCTTCTCCCTGTGCTCGTCCCACTGCTGCTCGTTCAACTCGTACCAAGGGGAGGGTTGCGGCCCTTCGTCTTTCTCTGACCCTGGGGAGCTGCGGGTGGGATGGGTGACGACCACAGCAGGTGGTGGTGGTGGTGGTGCTGCTGCTGCTGCTGCTGGTGATGGTGGTGGTTGCGTTGATTGTGGTGGTGGTGGTGCTGCTGCTGTTGTTGGTGGTGATGGCGGTAGAGATGAAGAAGGGGATGGGGTTGCAGAGGAGGCAGAAGCAGATGCAGCAGCAGCTCCTCCCGTTCCTCCTCCTGCACCGCCTTCCACCGCTCTTGACCGATTCACATCGCCGAAGTGTGCGCTCATGATCTCATCAAGTGCCCCCTCCACCAGTTGAAGCCTGCACGACATACTGGTGCCCAATCCCACTGCTCCTGCTGACTCAGCCGCTGCCCCTGCTGCCCCTGCTGCAGCACCACCAGCAGGGCCCTTCAGGGAAGGATCACAGGGCACGGCATATCGGACTATCCCTGCTGCTGCTGCCAGCGTGCCAAACCCTTCAGGGTCTAGAGCCGAGCCTGGTCCTGGTGTAAAATGGTCAAGGCCAGGGCGGGTAGAAAAGGGGGGAGAGGGCGAGGAGGAAGGAGAGGGCGAGGAGGGGGGGGAAGGTGCGGAGGGGGGAGAGAGGGCAACAGTGAGGGTAGACAGCTGGGAGTATGAGCGGTGGCGTTACCAACAGGAGCAAGTGCTGAGAGCAAGAGGGTGGAGGAGAGGAAGAGGAGCGGGAAGAGAAATCAGCAGTCATAGGGGTAGACAGATGGGATTTTGAGCGACATTACCAGCAGCAGCCGAGGTGGTGTTGAGGGGAAGAGGAGGCGGAAGCAGCTCGAGAAGAACAGCATTGAAGGGCAGGAAACGGAGCGAGGAGAGGAGTGAGGAGAGGAGTGAGCAGTCAAGGGGTAGAAAGTTGGAAGAATGGAGAGCATTGCCAGCAGGTGCCCAGTTGTGAGGAGAGGGCGAGGAGGACCAAGGAGAAGAGTGAGCAGTCAAAGGGGTAAATGCCTTACCAGCAGGAGCAGAAGTGTTTAGCAGCGGAGGAGGCAGCAGCTCGAGAAGTACGGCATTGAAGGGCAGGAAGAGGAGAGAGGAGAGGGCGAGGAGGACCAAGGAGAAGAGTGAGCAGTCAAAGGGGTAAATGCCTTACCAGCAGGAGCAGAAGTGTTTAGCAGCGGAGGAGGCAGGAGCTCGAGAAGTACGGCATTGAAGGGCAGGAAGAGGAGTGAGGAGAGGGCGAGGCTGGAAGGGCCGATGAGAAGGCGAGCTCTATTAAACAGCTTCTTGACTGGTGTGTTGGGGGGGGGAGGAGAAATGGAGAAGGGAGGAAGAGATGGGTGAAAGGGAAGGGTATATGAAGAGGCAAGAGAAGAAATGGCGAAAATACCTCAATGTTGGAGTAAAAAAAGAGGGTACATACATCTACCGAACTTTACAGAGAATAACATGAATAAACCAAATCGAATCAAATCTTACCATCGTCCATGCCCATGTGGCCTTGGTAGCTCTCCACTCTCTCCGATCCAAACCTCTCCACCACCACCCTCTCAATCTCCTCCTCCTCCTCCACCACCCCCCCCATCCCCCCTCCTCCCCCCCCACTCTCCCCCGCTCCCCCTAACCCCGTCCGCACCACCACCACCAGCCACTCCCCCCCTGCTGATAGCCCATCCGCGGAAAGAAAGAGGGGCGGGGGGGAGTGGGGCTTGAAGGAGGGGAGGAAGGAGGGGAGGCCGTCTGGGGGGAGGAAGTGGCGGGCGCGGGCCAGGCAGAGGAGAGAGGGGGAGGGGGAGGCGCAGGAGAGGAATGAGGGCTGCCTGGGGGGAGGGGGGGTGGGGTGGTGTGGGGGAAGAGGGGGAAAGAGGGGAGCGCAGAGGACGAGGGGAGTAAGGTGTTACGCAGAGGAAAGAGAAGAAATACATAAAGAGGGGAAGAAAGAGGGGAGCGAGGGGGAGGGAGGCCGGGAGGAAGGAGGGAAGGAACGAGAGGGGGAGGAAGGGGCGGGCGCGGGGGAGGCGGAGGAGGGAGGGGGAAGGGGAGGGGCAGGAGAGGTCTGAGGGCTGCCTGGGGGGGAGGGGGGGTGTGGGTGAGGGGGGGTGTGGGTGAGGGGGGGAGGGGAGATGAATTGGGGGGGAGGGGAGAAGGGGGGAGGAGGGTGTGAAAGTGAGACAAGAGCAGAAAGATACACAATGACAGGAAGGATAGAAGGATAGAATGAAGGGGGGAAGGCCGTAGGGGGGGAGGAAGTGGCGGGTGCGTTGGGGGGAGAGAGGGGGAAAAGGGGGGGGGAGATGGGGAACAAGGGGAGGGTGGTTGAAGCGGACACAAAGAGGGGGTGTGTCTCCCTTGCCCCGTCTCCCCCTCCCCTCCTCCTCCGTGCCCAAACTAACCTCAAAGTCAACTCTAAAGTCAATAAGAGCACTCACGACAAAGAGGAAGTGCACGAAGAGGGGGTGTGCCTCCCCCTCCTCCCCCGTGGCCGAACTAACCTCAACTCAATGGCAGCAGAAGGAGCACTCACGACAAAGAGGAAGTGCACGAAGAGGGGGTGTGCCTCCCTCGCTTCGTCCCCTCCCCCGTGGCCGAACTTTGGGGGAGCGTGCAGAGCCCGCGAAGCAAGGTCGAAGCCAAAGAGCTGATGGCTCATGATGCGAAGGGACTGGGGAAAACGGGGGGAGTGGGGGGGAGGGGAGGACGCAAGGTGCAGTGAAGAAAGGGGACATCAGAGACAAGGTCGAATCCAAAGAGCTGATGGCTCATGATGCGAAGGGACTGGGGGAGACGGGGGTAGGGGTGGGGTGTGGGAGGAAGAGTCTCTCCCTATAGTTAGGTGCACATGGCATGGCATGGCATGGCACGGCATGGCACGGCACGGCACGGCATGGCATGGCAGGATGGCATGACATGGCATGACATGACATGGCATGGGATGGCATGCACGTACCTGCGAGTAGGGCAGCAGCATGGGGTAGTGCTCGAAACTCGGCATCGCGTCCTGAATCGCCGTAGGCTCTGGCAGCAGCCTTTTCACTTGTACTCGATATAGTGTCTCATTATAACTGTCTAAGTCGACAAGCATACCTGCGAGTAGGGCAGCAGCATGGGGTAGTGTTCGAAACTCGGCATGGCGTCTTGAACAGCCATGAGTCCCGGAAGCAACCACTCCACCATCCATCTATAGATTGCCGCTCTCCCCCGCACCGACTCCCCCCTTGCCTCGCGCCCCTCCCCGCGCTCTTCCCCCTCCGCGCCTGCTGCTTCCCCGTGCGCGCGCGTGTGCGCGGATGTGCTTATATGGGGGGGAAAGAGATGCAACACGTGCTCGTATACCACCGCTGTAGTCCCCTTTTGATAAGAGAACTCGCTCGCAGCGCTCTCTCCTGGTTTCACGGAACCCGCTGCGCCTGTTCCGGGTTTTCCGGACACGTCGGACCCACGTGGACCCCCGCCGAAGACGAAGCGGTGCGTGCTGTTGAACACGTGGCCGTGCAGATCGATGTACACGTCACGGAGCATGATGACGTGGCCCGGGTAAGGAGACACCACGCAGGACTCAAGCTTCCCGCTTCCCCCAGCAGCAGCATCGGCGGGGGCGGCGGCGGAAGCGGCGGCGGCGGAGCTTGCGCCAGCGGAAGCGCCGGGGGAAGGGTTTTGCGGAGGGCATGTGCGGAACCACGGGGGGTGCGCGGCGGAAGCTCCCCCCGCGCGGAGCTTTTCAATGGCGGAACCATCCAGACAATTGGACACGGGGGGAGCGTCAGAAAGCAGATTAAAGACCATGTCTTGAATCGCCTTTTCCAATGCTGACGTCATCAGCGGTTTGCTTTCGCAGAGCGCGAAATTTCCAGAGCCGCTGCCGAAGGGAGTGGTTCCTTCGCAAATGTGGAACTCGGGGCATTTCCCGGCTTTGCAGCCGCCCGATGCGATGCTCTCGATCACGGAAGAATCTGAACCGTCCAGGTAGATCGGGATGAGATTCTGACCGTTGATGTCCTCGGAGATCGACGTGACTCCACGGTGCTTTTCTCTAATCGAGCCACTGTTTAACGGAGCATTAGGGTCAATCGCGACTGCTCCGGGAGACGACGGCTCTTGTTGGGCTAGCGATACTACAGCGAAGCAGGCGAGCCACGCTATAACGGAGCACGCGGAAATCAGTACGCGTGACGGGAAGGGAGACCGCGAAAGGATCGTACGGACTGCCATGGCTGCGATGGAAAATCAGCCAATGTAGAAAAAGGAAAGAAAGGAAAGAACGAAAAGTGCAGCCTGAAAGCACGGGCAATCAAGCGACAATCCGAACCGCCATGACGATCGCATTGGCAAGAACAGCCGGCGTTGAAGGCACGGCAGCCATAAGTGACAGTTAAAGCTCGCGGCCCAAATTGTACAACTTTACTAAAGTTGCATGTTGGGAGGTGAGGGAGCAGGGTTGGAAAATCGAGGTGTTGGGTGGGTTGAGGGCTTTGGTTTCGCCCAGCTTCTCGCCAATCTCAAACACATTTCGCTGACTCAGCAGACCCCAGGGGCCACTTCGCGTATGGTTGCATGAGTTCCATATTGCACAAATATTATCCTTGCCAGTTTCCCACCCAACCCGCTCCGCAAACACTGTTTCAATTTTGCTAGCCAATCAGCTCAGTGTTTCAAATTGACTAGCCAATTAGCTCCCTTCGTACAACCCGTAACCTCAATTCGCAAAACCAGCACCTGCAAAACAACTGTCGATCAACCTTACTAAGGTTGCCCAGCGCGGCCCGCAATTTGGGCTGCGAGCTTTAATTGGTGAGAGATGTGGGTGGGAGAAAGGGGAGTCTTGATAAGTGACCACTCTGGTCGGCATTATCTAGGAGCCGATTGCGGAAAGTGGTTGGGAGGTAAGTGCTCCGCTTTAAGGCGGACTCTTTACAATACACGAGACAGAAATAATACGTAAGCCTGTCAACTTCAGGATACGCACTCACTCCTTTCACCTTACACTGTACTGCCAAAACTCAATATGATTGTCATACACTGCAATAACAATAGGAAGAAAACTAATCTTCTATAATAACATACCAACAACTAAAATATCTATATAGAAGTCTCATTGTGTGTTTCTTGCCATCTCTTAATGGCTTGAAGAGCCAACACCCGAAACGATCTCGCACCAACCAAGAGATCTAGACGCCGAAAATTGGGGGTGGGAGGAGGGAGATTCGTATCACCACCAGCAGCAGCAGCAGCATTGTCACCACTGTCACTTGTAAAAGGCGGGGAATACAAACCGAGGTCAATATACAGCCCAGTTGTACCAACAGTTGTGCTATGGCCACTGCTTTTGCTGTGCCTGCTGCTACTGCTGCTGCTGCTGGTGCTGCTGCTGCTGCTGGTGCTGCTGCGGGAAAATCGTCTGGCAATGTCAAATGGCTTCACTTCCCCAGAGAAACCCCCTGGATTCACAGCTGCAGCAAACCTCTCTTCAAATTCTGCTGAATTCACTTGATCTCCCACCTGCTCACCCACCTGAACCCTCACGTGACCTCCCCGTTGTTCCCCCACGTTCGTCCCCACCTGATCCTCCACCTGCTCAGCCACCTGGCACTGTTCATCCTGCAACGGGCACTGTATGGCAACAGCATGGTCAACCTGAAAGAGACTAGCCCAGCGGCCATAGTCGGAAGCAGGGTTGAGGTTGCGAGCTGGCAGGAGGAAGGGGGTGGGGCGCGCTGGATAGATTTCCAGCACTTGGGCGTGGGGTGGTAACCAGATGAGGTTACTCATGCCTGCACCTGATGGGGAAAGGGGAGTGGGAAGAGGAGGCGGGGTTGAGGTTGCGGGCAGGGAGGAGGAAGGGAGAGGGGCACGCCGGATAGATTTCCAGCACTTGGGCATAAGGTGGTAACCAGATGAGGTTACTCATGCCCGCTCCTGACAGGGGAAGGGGAGAGGGGGGAGGGGGGGGGGGGGGGGTTTAAGTATGGGAAGGGAGGGCTTGATCACTTGAGGAAGGAGGGAAAAAGGAGGGGCGAAAGAGCTCTAAGGCCCGGGCCTGGTGATAACCCTAGTTTCGAAACAAACACTCACCGTGACTGCCTGCCAGCACGTCTAGCTGGTGTGCCTCTCGAATCTGCTGCCACACGTCAATCTTTTCAAACTGCAGCACTCGCACCTCGAACCCTGCCGACTCCGCTGCTCTTACCAGATCTGCTTATAGCGGGGATAAGAGGAGGCGGGTGAGTGGATGGGGGGAAAATTAGTGGACAGGATGGTCAGAGGCGGCTGGTGTTAGGGCGAGCGATAATGCCCATGAGGGGGCGTGAGGAGAAAGGAGGAGGGGATACTGATGGTGATGAGAGTGGTGGTGGTGATAGTGATGATGATAGCAATAACGACAGTATCAGTTCCCCGAAGCAGAGGCGGCGGGGCGGGTTGTATCTCGAGCAATGAAGCCCATCAGAGGGCGCATGGGGAGAGGAGGAGGAGGCGATACTGACTATGATGACAGAGCTTTCAGTGATCACCTCCGCTCATGGGTGCTTTCAGTGATCACCTCCGCTCATGGGTGCTTTCAGTGATCACCTCCGCTCATGGGTGCTTTCAGTGATCACCTCCGCTCATGGGTGCTTTCAGTGATCACCTCCGCTCATGGGTGCTTTCAGTGATCACCTCCGCTCATGGGTGCTTTCAGTGATCACCTCCGCTCATGGGTGCTTTCAGTGATCACCTCCGCTCATGGGTGCTTTCAGTGATCACCTCCGCTCATGGGTGCTTTCAGTGATCACCTCCGCTCATGGGTGCTTTCAGTGATCACCTCCGCTCATGGGTGCTTTCAGTGATCACCTCCGCTCATGGGTGCTTTCAGTGATCACCTCCGCTCATGGGTGCTTTCAGTGATCACCTCCGCTCATGGGAGCTTTCAGTGATCACCTCCGCTCATGGGTGCTTTCAGTGATCACCTCCGCTCATGGGTGCTTTCAGTGATCACCTCCGCTCATGGGTGCTTTCAGTGATCACCTCCGCTCATGGGTGCTTTCAGTGATCACCTCCGCTCATGGGTGCTTTCAGTGATCACCTCCGCTCATGGGTGCTTTCAGTGATCACCTCCGCTCATGGGTGCTTTCAGTGATCACCTCCGCTCATGGGTGCTTTCAGTGATCACCTCCGCTCATGGGTGCTTTCAGTGATCACCTCCGCTCATGGGTGCTTTCAGTGATCACCTCCGCTCATGGGTGCTTTCAGTGATCACCTCCGCTCATGGGTGCTTTCAGTGATCACCTCCGCTCATGGGAGCTTTCAGTGATCACCTCCGCTCATGGGTGCTTTCAGTGATCACCTCCGCTCATGGGTGCTTTCAGTGATCACCTCCGCTCATGGGTGCTTTCAGTGATCACCTCCGCTCATGGGTGCTTTCAGTGATCACCTCCGCTCATGGGTGCTTTCAGTGATCACCTCCGCTCATGGGTGCTTTCAGTGATCACCTCCGCTCATGGGTGCTTTCAGTGATGATGATTACCTCTAAGCCTCACCTGGCAGGTGGCAGAGGCGGCGGGTCTTATCCTGAGCAATGAAGCCCATCAGAGGCCGCATGGAGTGAGGATGAGATGATATGATGGTGATGGTGATGAGAGTGATGAGGTGATAATGACGGCCACAAATTCCCCCCTCTAAAAGCTAACCTGGTAGGTGGCAGAGGCGGAGCATCTTATCACGAGCGATAATGCCCATCAAAGGCCGCGTGGAGTGGGGAGGCGATGATACTGATGGTGATGGTGGTAGTGGTGATGATAGTCATGATAGTGATGATGGTGGTGATGGTGGTGATGGTGGTGATGATATGTTCACGTGTAAAGCTCACCTGGTAGGTGGCAGAGGCGGCGCATCCTATCACGAGCGATGATGCCCATCAAAGGCCGCGTAGAGAGAGGAGGAGGGCGGGTGGGGAGGAGTGATGTGGATGTGGAGAGTGGTGCTGACGTGGCGGACGGCAAAGAGGACGACGTTGAGTGCGGAAAAACGTGTGGTTTAGAATCGCTGTTGGAGTGAAGGGGGGTGGGGGAAGGAAGGGGGATGGAAAGGGGGATGGGAGATTGGAAGGGGCGTGGAGGGATGCAGTGACCGGCAGGAGAGGGGGGCGCCTCTGCAGCAGCGGGCCGGGGGAGAAGGCTGGAGAGGCAGACCCAGGAAGGCATGGCGGTACCAGATGAGGAGGTGGAGGACGGAAGGGGAGACTCCGAGGGCGAATTAGGCGTCTCACCTGTTTTCTGTGATCCCAGCAATGGTCAGAGCTGGCCGTCTGAACACGCGGAATGACTCAAGTGGCAATAGCGGCGGGCGTCTCTGCAGCAGCGGGCCGGGGGAGAAGGCCGGAGGCAGACCCAGGAAGGCGTGGCGGTAGCACACGAAGGGGGAGGAGGGAAGGAAGGAAGGGGAGGGCGAATAATGCGTCTCTCACCTGTCCTCTGTGATGCCAGCAAGCGCTAGAGCTCGCCGTCTGAATGCTTGAAATGACTCGAGGGGGAGTAACGGGGGGCGCCTCTGCAGCAGCGGGCCAGGGGAGAAGGCCGGAGGCAAACCCAGGAAGGCGTGGCGGTAGCACACGAAGGGGGAGGAGCGGTTCGCTGCTAGCGCCGCCACCTCTGAGACGGTTACCAAAGATGAGAGGAGGCGGCGGAGGTGGTGGTGCCTTTGAGAGGAGAGGCGGCGACGAGATTTGATTTTCATCAGATCACGGGGCACGTTCTCGATTTGATTCACCTTTTGTCCCCTAGCGTGGGGAAGAGAGTGGGAGGGGAGGGGGGACAACGGGGGAAAGAGGAGGGAAAAGAGGAATGGGGAAGAGGGGAGGAAGGGGAATGGAAGGGAAGAGGAGGCAAGGGAGGAATGGGGAAGATCGTAGGAGTGAGGGGAAACAAGGGGGTGAGGAAAAGAGCAGGAAAGGGGGGAAATGGGAAAGAGAGATGAGAAAAAGAAGGGGAGGAAGGGGAGTAGATGGAAGGGAAGAACCACAGAGGAAATGGAAAAGGAGGATGGGGGTGGAGGGAAAAAACAACCAAACAAAGAACCTGAAGGAACACCCGAGCAACACACCTGGTAGAGGGTGACGCCTGGAGGGGCGGTGGCAGCGAGGAGAGGCCACCAGGGGAAGTGGCGAGTGGAGTAGTAGTCAGGGGGGGGCACAGAGATGCCAGCAACAGTGATGAGCGCAGCAGTGGTGCGTGCAGGTTCATGCTCATGGTCATGGGTGTGAAAGGCATGCGTGTAGCAACACACACCTGATAGAGAGTCACACCCGGAGGGGCAGTAGCAGCGAGCAGAGGCCACCAGGGGAAGTGGCGAGCGAGTGGAGTAGTAGTCAGAGGGCGGCACAGAGATGCCATCATGCCAGCAGCAGCGATGTGCGCAGCAGCAGGAATATGTGCAGGTTCATGCTCATGGGTGTGAAAGGCACGCGTGTAGCAACACACACCTGATAAAGAGTCACACCCGGAGGGGCAGTAGCAGCGAGCAGCGGCCACCAGGGGAAGTGGCGAGTGGAGTAGTAGTCAGGGGGCGGCACAGAGATTCCAGTGGCAGTGTTGGTGCTATGTGCATGTGAACAGCAGTGTCATGTGTGTGGGGTAGGTTTCCCCCTCACGCACTTAAACACACCTGGTAGAGAGTGACGCCTGGAGGGGCAGCAGCAGCGAGGAGAGGCCACCACGGGAAGTGGCGAGTGGAGTAGTAGTCAGGGGGCGGCACAGAGATTCCAGCGGCAGTGATGTGTGTGGCATCGCTCCCATGCCCCATTCCAGTGGCATCGCTCCCATGTATGTGGGAGGCGTGGGCTAACATGCCCTCGACCCCTCTGGCCAGGCACGGGAAGAGGTGCGCTGTGTTGTTGCGCAGGGCGTGGTGCTGAGAGGAGAGGAGCTGAGGGGATAAGGGGCGTGGGGAGGGCACAGAGGGACAGGGGAGGAAGGGGAGGGGGATGGGGTAGGCAGGTGTGTGTGAGAGAGTGTGCCTTCGAACCTTTGACCCCCCTGGCCAGGCAGGGAAAGAGGTGTGCTGTGCTGTTGCGCAGGGCGTGGCGCTGAGAGGAGAGCAGCTGGAGAGGAAGGAGAGGAGAAGGAAAGACAGGGGGGGAGCAATCCGGTTACAGCAGCCCACAAGAGATGTGCTATGAGAGCCCTCACACTCCCTCACTCACTCACTCACTTGCTCACTCACACACTCACTCACTCGCTCCCTCCCCCACTCACTTCCTCAGCGATTCCAGCAATCACCCACATGTGACAAAGGTATCACGTGGTGCAGAAAATGCCAAGGATTGCCGGCCGTCAGCGGCATGATGACAGCTGTAGCGTCCTCAATCCACCCGCTGTGCCCCCTCTTGCCACGTGGCAGCTTGTCATTGGTGTAGGTGACTGGAAAGGTAAAACAGCCTGCTTCGTTGCACAGTGGTAAGCCATCACCATCACCCTGCCAGTAGTTGACAGGAGAGAGGAGGGACAAGAACAGATGGAACACAGGGAGTGAGGGGCATGGGTGGGTGACTGCAAAGGTGAAACAGCCTGCCTCGTTGCACAGTGGTAAGCCATCACCATCGCCCTGCCAGTGGAGGAAAGAAAGGAGAATGAAAAGTGCGGAGAGACGGGATGGGTTGACAAGACGCGGGGGGGAGAGGGGGTGCGGGTAAGGGAGGAACAACGAGAAAGAGGATATATTGAAAAAAAGGTGAAAGAGGCTGCCTCGTTGTATAAGCATAGAGCCAATTTGGTGTTCTCGCACTAACTAATATTGATAATAAGCAACCACGAACTTACCAGCACGTCTGCTCCTCCGCAGCTCATGCTATAAGCAGTCCCTACTCGTGAACTATAGGGACCGCAAAACTAGGCAGCTCATGGTATAGTGCAATTTCCATCACCTGAACGCGTTATAAGCAGTCCCTACTCACCGAAATGTCCTCTACTCCGTGCAAGGTCACTCCTCCCTTGAACCGAGCGTGTATGCACACGTTCTCCAGCTCGTAGGCTCCTCCCATCTTCTGTACGCGTTATAACCAGTCCTCACTTACCAAAACATCCTCTACTCCATACAGAGTCACTCCTCCCTTGAAGCGAGCATGTATGCACACGTTCTCCAGCTCGTATGCTCCTCCCCCCTCCACTCGCCTCACAGCGGACCGCTGCGGCACCTGGTGCTCGCTGTAGTGCGTGGCGTCAGAGACTGGGAGGGAAAGGGGTGGTGGGGGGAAAGGAAGGGGAAAGGGGGAAAGTGTATGCACAATTGTATGCATCGCTCCGACCCCCAATCGCCGCACAGATTACCGCAATGGCACCTGCTGCTCGCTGTAGTGTGTGTGGCGTCAGATACTGGGAGGTGAGAAACAGAGGGAAAAACAGGGGGGGGGGGGGGGGGGGGTTGGGAAGAATAGGAGGGTCATAGTGCATCGCTCCTCCCCCTTCCACTCGCCTCACAGCGGACCGCAATGGCACCTGCTGCTCGCTGTAGTGCGTGGCGTCGGAGACTGGGAAGCATGTGGGGAGGAAGGGACGCGGGGAGAAATAGGGGGTCTTGTGACAAGGAACGGACCGTTCTCCAGCTCGTAGGCTCCTCCCCCTTCCACTCGCCTCACAGAGGAGAGGACCGCTGCGGCGTCTGCTGCTCGCTGTAACGGATAGCCTTGGAGACTGGAAGGAGGGGAAGAACGGGAGAAAAAGTGATCACCAAGGCTCGTTTCTCAGAGGCACTTACCGGACTCCCGCAAAGCACTTACGGAGGGTTCGCATTCCGCGATGCCGCACACGCAGAAGCGGCGGCTCCCGAGCTGGAGCTGACGTGGCGTCCCTCGAGTTCACGTGGGTCTCGAAGTAGGAGCGAGGGAGGGATTGGCCGAGGTAGTCGTCATTCCGGCCGCAGATAAGGCCAGCTGTGGTCGCGTGCGAAGCTGACACGTGGCACGAGAGCAGGAGGAGGCATACGAGTCCACGTGTGCCCGTCCACTGGGATCGTCCGATCATCGCGGAGACAGGAAGAGATTAATCGACTAATCTTAAAAGGCGTACTAGAGACCAGGCGAAGTGTGAAGAAACAGGCAACGACAGGGACTCCCGCGTGCAAGCCTGGAGATATCGAGGGACCAGCAAGCTACCATATATTGGTCCATGTCGCCCTATGAGACGTCTCAGAAATCCATATATTCGTTCATGCCGTCGAAGACTGTGTCTCTCGGCGAAAGTTCTAGCGGCAATGGCTTTTCTCAGGATCGACGGTCCTCACGGTCTTGGCGACAGCGATGCTTTCCTGCGATAATACCGCGAGCAACGGCGATAACACCGGGAGAAACGGCGGTAATACCGTGAATTGGACGGCTGTCTAAAGTCCTTTTCGCCGTAACCGACGGTGCTCGTCTCCCTCCGCCAGAATACAAAAGAAGCGGCTGACGTGGTGCTAGCACGGGGTAATCGAAGCGGGATAATCCTTCACGGGATTAGGTGTAGTTCTCGAAGCGCAGACCTGTGCTTCTTTTCGGCAGAGGGTGCAGTGAAACGGAACTGTTCTGGTTCTGTATTCAACTGAGGATTATGAACAGTGATCCGCGATATAGTACAAGGTTGTTCGTGCCGCGATAACAGCATGATCCTACCATCTTAAGCCCTATCCATACAGAAACAAATTACCAGAGCAACATCAGTGTAAGTCTGACCAATTGCATTTCATTTAGCAACATGGGTCACTAGATCAGTGTAAGGCTGGTTATATTTTGTTGATCATTTTTCTATTGGTTACTCGAAGCGAATTTCCATCAATTATCTTGCAGCCATTGGTGTCCTGTTTGGGGGGGGGAGGAAACCGTAGAAAGGGCGAGACAGGTCAGGCAATTGAATGCATAAGAACAGCTTCTGCAAGAAAACAGCTCCAATACGACCATGCCAATCTCCATAGCAATCTCCTGGTTCAATTTCCATGCCAATCTCCATAGCAATCTCCTGGTTCAATTTCCATGCCAATCTCCATAGCAATCTCCTGGTTCAATTTCCATGCCAATCTCCATAGCAATCTCCTGGTTCAATTTCCATGCCAATCTCCATAGCAATCTCCTGGTTCAATTTCCATGCCAATCTCACCAAGAATTTCATCTGCAGTGATTCTCAGGGCGGCGTCTTTTGACAGCATACGCATCACCAGATCCTTCGCTTCGTCTGACACCCTCTCCCACACTCCCTCCCTCTCCACCTCCTCCTCCACACTCTTCTCCAATATCGCCCGAAACACCCCCTCGTCTGAGTCACCCCAAAAGGGAAGTACCCCCGACAAAAGGACGAACAGGATCACTCCGGCCGCCCAGATGTCGGATTCTGGACCGTAGGATTCGTGGAGGACCTCTGGGGCGATGTAGAATGGCGAGCCCACGATCTCAGAAAAGCGTTCACCTGGGAGTTGGGGAGTCGAGAGGAGAGGGGAGGGGAGAGGGGAGTTACGGTTACAAGTTTGGGGATTGAGGGGAGAAGCGATGCAGAATGGAGAGCTCACAATCTACAAAAAGCGTTCACCTGGGTTTTGAGGAGTTAAGCGGAGAGAGGAGGGGTTAGAGGAAGGGACAGGGGAAGGGAGAGGGGAGTTAGGGTTTGTAGGTATGTGGCGCATGTCGCCTCACACTTGAGTGTGGTTTGTATTGCACAGCACCACTCTCAACACCTGAGTAAACCCACACACCTAGAGAAACGCACAACAAACCATGGAGCATCTTGATGCACAAAGTTAAAGCGATCCCTGTACTGCACAGCACCACTCCCAACACCTCAACAACCCATTGCACCCACCTGGATTGAAGAACACCGAAACCCCATAGTCAATAACTGCAACATCCACATCATCATCCTCCCTCCTTAGAAGCACATTCTCCGGCTTCACATCGCGATGCATGATCCCCTGGGCATGCAGGTCCCTTAGCAGTCCCACCAGCCGCCCCACCACTGCTGCCGCCTCCCTCTCCCCATACGCCCCCCCCTGCTGCACCCGCTGCCACAGGTCCCCGCCTTGACACAAATCCATTACTAGATGAACGTGCTGCAGAGGAGGAGGGGGAGCAGTGGGGAGGGGATGGGAGAGGAGAGGAGGGGATGAAGAGAGGGGTATAAGAATGTGTGTAAGAGCACGAAGAGAAGGGTATGAGAGTGTGTGAGCATGATCCCCTGCGCGTGCAGGCCCCTCAGCCGCCCCACCAGCCGCCCCACCACTGCTGCCGCCTCTCTTTCCCCATACGCCCCCCCCTGCTTCACGCGCTGCCATACGTCCCCCCCTTGACACAGATCCATCACCAGATGCACGTGCTGAGGAAGGGGAGAGGGTTAATGGGGGAAGGGGTGTAGGGGAGTTGGGTTGGGTTAAGGCAAGAGGTTGGTATCCACTCCCCCTGCATCACGCGCTTCCATACGTCCCCGCCTTGACAAAGATCCATCACAAGATGCACGTGCTGAGGAAGGGGAGGGGGGAAAGGGAGGGGAGGGGAGAGGAGGGGTTACGGAGAGAGGTATAAGAGTGTGCGCATGATCCCCTGGGCGTGCAGGACTCTCAGCAGCGTGGGTGTGAACATTCTCCGGCTTCACATCCCGATGCATGATGCCCTGGGTGGGTGGGCACTGTGCGGGTCCCTCAGCAGCCCCACCAGCCGCCCCACCACTGCAGCCGCCTCCCTCTCCCCATACGCTCCTCCCTGCTATACTCTCTGCCACAGGTCCCTGACACAAAACCATTACTAGATGAACGTGATGCCAATGCAAGGGGGGGACGGGAGGACGAGAGGGGAGAAAAGACAAGGAGGATGGGACGACGAGATGGAAAAGGGGTGGAGAGAAGGGTATAAGAGTGTGAGCAAGAGCATATAAGAGTGTGAGCAAGAGCATATAAGAGTGTGAGCAAGAGCATATAAGAGTGTGAGCGTGATCCCCTGGGCATGCAGTGCATGTCCCTCAGCAGTCCCACCAGTCACCCCACCACTGCTGCTGCCTCTCGCTCATTTTATGCCCCCCCCTACTGCACCCGCTGCCCCAAGTCCCTCCCAAATGACACTCCCTCTCACCTCCTCGTGTTCAAACACCCCCTGCAGTTGCACCGAGCAGGGATGCCCTCTCATCGCCTCCAACACCTCCACCTCCCTCCGCAGGTCCTACTCCCCTCCTATCTCACCTCCTCATCTTCAAACACTGCATGAAGCTGCACCGAGCACGGATGCCCTCTTATCGCTTCCAATATCTCCACCTCCCTCCTCACGTCTTCCGCCTCCTCCTCGCTCTGCCATGCACGGAAACACACGTTTAGTCCCACCTGTAACTTTTCCTTCGGCATTGTTTTGCATGCATAACGTTGTTGCTTATCCGATGCACACAGTCTAATTGAACCTACCGGGCCCCCAGCCTCCTCACACCACATCATATCACACCTGTATTTTTCCCTTGGAAATCGTTTTGCATGCATAAACTTCGTTGCTCCTCCGATGCACACACTGCCTGATGCTGCCCGATCGGCCCCTCCCTATCTCCTCCGTACTCAGTAAGAACTGCTCCGTTATATCCTCAAAGGGCCGTCTCAGCACGCTCAAACCACCACCAGAAGCACCAGCAACGCCAGCAGCAAGTGTTGCCCCTGCACCTTCTGCTCTTCCTATCCCTCCCCTAGCTCCCCCCAGTCCTCCCCCTTTCCCTGCAGACGGACGGAGGGGTGACCCCCCTCGCCTTCCTCCCCCCATTCCCCCCATTCCCCCAACTCCCCCTGCCGCCCTTTCCCCCCAGCTCCCCCCAGCAGAGTTTGGGGAAATGGGGGGATTGGGGGAGGATGAGGGGTGGGGGGAGCGGGGGGAGTGAGGGAGAGGCTTTGGCGGGGAGTGCGAGTGAGCAAGTGAGTGAGGATGGGGCTTGGGAGAAGAAACGGAGTGAGGGTGGGAGTGAGAGCGGGACTTTGGAGAAGAAATAGAGTGAGTGTGGGAGTGAGAGTGGGACTTGGGAGAAGAAACGGAGTGAGTATGGGGGTGAGGGTGGGGTTTGGGAGGGGAGGGCGAGTGAGAGTGGGAGCGAGAGTGGCGGTGAGGGGGAGGAGGAGAGGAGTGTTGTTGGGTCGGTTGAATCCCACCCCCTTGACGAGCGGGGGAGTGAGGGGGCGGCAAACGAGCACCAGTGTTACCACCAATGTGGTAACCAGTTGCAGGAACACCAGGGGCACCACCAACAGCAGCAAAACCACCGGCAGCAGAAATAATAGCACCATCAGCACCTGCACCACCTGCACCACCACCAGCACCGAAACCACCTGCAGCAGGATTACCAGCACCAGCACCGGCACCACCAGCACCAGCACCAAAACCGGGATCAAAGCCTGCAACAGCAGAATATCCCGCAAATGCGCCACCAGCAGCACTAGCTGACATTGTCCTCTTATGCCGTGACATGCCTTGTGATGCCGCCCCTCTTCCCCCTCCCCCTCCTGCTCCAAATCCCCCTGCTATTCCCCCATCTCCTCTCCCTCCCCCTCCCCCTCCCCCTCCCCCTCCCCATCCCCCTCCTCCTTCCCCTCCTCCTCTCCCCCCTCCTGCGGGACTATAATGAGGGTGAAGTTTGGAGGGACTGGGGCTCGTATAACTCTTAGTGCTTATAATGGGTTGCCCACCGAATTCCTTTCCACTGCCACCAGAACGCACAGCAGTGGCAGCAACAGCTCTCGCCGAGCCTGCAGGTTTGGCCGGGGCGGTGGAGGATCGGAACAGCTCCTGCTGGTCGATTTCCTCCTCTGTCTCGTATTGCTGCTCCTGCCACGATCCCTGCTGCCACCCCTGCCCCTGCCTCTGCCCCTGCCCCTGATGCTGCTGCTGTTGCTGCTGCTGGTTGTACCGTTGCTGCTGCTGCCACTGCTGCTGCTGCTGCTGCTGCTGCTGCTGCTGCTGCTGCTGCTGCTGCTGCTGTTGCTGCTGTAGAAGCCCCATGGGTTGTTGAGGAGAGAACATCGGCTGCCCCAGGTCAGAGGGAAAGCCGCCCACTCCCGCCATTCCCATGGAATGACTCCTCCTGTGACCCACACGCCCCTGATGCCCCTGCTGCTGCTGCTGCTGATGATGATGATGGTACTGCCCCTGGTGCTGCTGCTGTATCTGCTGCCCCTGCATACTCGCCTGCTTCTCCCGCTCCTTCTGAATCGCCTGCTCATTCTGCTGGTGTCTCCGCTGCAGCATCAGCTGATGCTCACTCAGCTGCTGATGCTGCTGCTGCTGCTGCTGCTGCTGCTGCTGCTGCGTCTGTTGACCCATATCGTCCATCCTCACGCCTGCTGCTCCCGCTCCTTCCCCCATCCCTTCTCCGCCTGAGTTTGGGACCTTAAACCCTGTGTTAGCTGCACCCCAGTGCACAGGAACAGGGGAAACAGGAGCAAGCGGAACGTCCTCATCATCCCCCTCTTCCCCCGGAAGCACCCTCCCATCCTCCACTTCTGCTCCCTCCTCTCCTCCCTCCTCCTCTCCTCCCTCCTCCTCTCCTTCCTCCTCCCCTGCTCCCTCCTCCTCTCTCACTCTGTCCTCCAGCTCTCCATCTCCCATCATACCATTTCCTTCCCCTCCACCTCTTGCTCCCCCCAATTCCCCCCCTCCTCCGCCTCTTCCCCCAACCCATCCCCTGCCTCCGCCTCGTCCCCCTCCCCCCACCCCGCCCGTTTCCCCCACGCCCCCGCCTCTCCCCATCTGCCCCGTGCTAGGTCTCCGCATCCGCCCCCCCGGCCCCTGCCCCAGCCCCTGCCCCTGCCCCTGCCCTTGCGCCTGCCCCTGCGCCTGCTCCGCCTGATAGCTTCCCCCCGCCCACCCATCCCCGCCCCCCCCTCCAGAGAACCCCCAGCCCCCTCCCCCAGGCCCCTGCAAGCTCTGACTGCGCCTGTGACCCTGCCCCCCGCCCCCTCCCCCTGCGCCTCGTCCCCCTCCGCCTCCGCCGCCCCTTCCGCCTCCCCCAGAGAACCCGCCCCCAAGGCTTCCGCCGTGCAGGGGGGAAAGGAGGGCGGAAGCTTGGCCTGAAGCATGATTCCCCCTTCCGTACTTCCCAGAATTGCCATCCTGGTGTTGCTGCAAGAAATTCTCGTTACTATCCTCCTCGTTATCGTCCCCATGCTCACGGATTTGCCCAAGGGGGGATTGTGCGCCCCTTTCCCTCCCGCTGCCCTGCCCTCGCGCTGCTCCCCCCCGCCCCAACCCTCCCCCGCCTAGACCCCCGCCCACAGACCCTCCCCCAATCCCCTTGCGCGCATTCCCCCCCAATGCGTCACTTCCCCCATCTCCTCCGGGGCCACTGCCATAGCTACTGTTACTGTAACTATTGTTACCATAACTAGTGTTACTACTTGAAAGGTCCATAGACCGATGCCTCAGAGGATGGGTGGGGATCGGTTTGGAAGGGTCTGAGAAGGAGGAGGGGACTGGCGCGGGGATCCGTCCTCCGTCAAGAGAGGCGCGCCTTACCCCCTCTTCAAGGGGAGCGCCCCTTCCGCCGCCGTCAAGGGAGGCGCGCCTTACCCCCCCTGCCGACGATAACATTCTCTGCCCGCCTGCAGGCCCGCTCCCCCTCCCCCCAACAGTTCCCCCAGCCCCCATTCCGCCCGCTTTCCCGCCCCCACCTCCCCCTCCGCCTCCCCACGCTCCTGTTCCGCCTCCCCCTTCCCCGTCCGCCCCTTCCCCCGATCTGTTCCCCCCTTCCCCTCCGCGGAAGTCCATTTCCTGCAAGAACTGCCCGGAGTCCGCGGGGAAGGCGGACTTGGTGCGCCGATGGCGCGAGGGCTTCGCGACAGGCACGGCAACCATAGCTGCTAAGTCCTCCGGCGGCAAATCCGCGTCGTCCTCTCTCCTCAGAATATTAACGGACGGTCCTGAAAACATCTCCCACACCCGCCCGCCGGATTTTATGAACTTAGGCTTAAACCGAGGGTCAATACTGTCTAAATTCGCCCCCTTGCCTTGCGCCTCCTGCCCTCCGCCGCTTGGACCTCTGGTTTCCCCCCCCACTCCGCCTTTCCCCCTCGGACCTTCCCCTGGGCCGCTAACTCCTCCGCCCGCGCCTCCCCCTCTTCCGCGCCCGTCCATATCGCCCCCGACTCTCCCCTGCGCTCCCGCCTCCCCTCTCCCCTCTGGCGCAGGCGGATGCGCGCCTCTCCCCGCTCCCGCGGGGCCTGGCGGAAACTGTCCCGGTGCTCCCATCTGCGCGAGAAAATCAGGCGCAATGGCCCCCATACCCATAGCCCCCATTCCCATGGATCGCGATCGGCGGTGGTTACCACCGTGGTTACTCGCGACACCCATGTGGTTACCCGCGAGGTTACCAGCGACGCTCGGGTGGTTACCAGGGAACGCGATAACGGGGGCGACGGGAACGTTGTCGCCATGGTCCCACGGAAGCTCTTCCGCTTGCTCGGACTGCTGCTGCTGCTGCTGCTGCTGTTGGGGGAACTGCGGAGACATTTGTGGCGGATATTGCGGGAATTGCGGCGACAGAGGTGGTTGCTGGTAAGGACCCGGATTCTGCTGGGTCTGCGACTGGTGCTGGAACTGCGACTGTTGCTGCTGCGGCGCGTACTCGTTCCATGTGTTGCGGGTCTCGTGCTGGCTTGCCGGCCTTCGTTGCACGTGATGATGATTCATGGTAGCGAGAATTGTCGGCCTCTGAGGCGGCTCAGGACAGGATTAATCCGTAGTGTTAGAGGCAGTTTTCTAGGTGCCTATATTACTAGTGCAAACATAGAGCCGCGCAAGGAACGGTGTGACGTAACAGGGGTAATATCTTTCTTCAAGGCGACTCAGTAATAACAATGATACGACGTACCATGATTGCGACGTCACGCTCGACCATCACATGGGATAAGAGATCGACGACTAGCGGGTTAGAACCGTTAAGAGTTTTGACGCCTAGCCGTCCGTCACCTTGCACTGAGCCTTCACGGCTTCAGTCTATATTGCCTTCGTCAATCGGGAACGTTTCATTAGAAAGGGTCATAAGAATGTATCACTAAAACGTGTCTTAAAAACGCGTCGGTAAAATGTGTCAGTTAACAGTGCCTTAGTGTCAGCTTCAGACCTAAAGCAGCAGCAACTTCCAGGTGTCCAGATAAATAGGTGAAACGCCTACGAAAAATTACGCTGGCGGTTGTAGGTCGGAGCGGATCAAAGCTGCTCGTCTCTATAAGCTAAGTGCATGAGCAACTGCACCCTCTGGAAAGGGACGAACGTGAAATACTCAGCCACCACCACTCACACCCTCTGAAAAGGGACGAACGCCCTTTTCACCTCAAGATAGAACTTCAATTGCTGAAATGCAGGCTCCAAGCAATGCCCGAACCTCCCCAACCGAAGCCCAGCCATACAGAAATGCAAGTGGTGGAACGGAGTGAAGTGAAGTGAACCCAACAACTGAGGAAAAGGCCAGAAAAGCAGGCCTGAGGCCATGTGTGTAACAAAACTAGGGATATTGCACCCAACCTAGCTGAACCGAGCGTTCACTAGTCGGAGACGTTTGAAAGTTTGGAATGAACCAGAAGCTGGAAACGCGGTAGAGTGGGGGTACGATGGGCCAGTGGGAGTGTCGCCAGTAGATTGCGGCCGTCAAGAGTGTCGTTCGTGCATTGATCGTTGGGCAATTGGGAGTACCGACTGTAGATTGGCCCCTCGAAAGTGTCGCATCGCAGGTCGTTCTTGCCCTTGCACTGATTGGGCCACGGAGGTGTCCGTGGTGAAGCCCAGCCACACACTCAGCTGCAAGTTTGGCGGGAAAATGGAACCACACCTGATCCGTTAAAAGACCTTGACTAAATTCAAAAGCAACGCATTCGACTAACCACCAGCACTGACGTCAATATTATGGAAGGTATTTCAGCATAACAAAATTGTGGATTTAACATAGGCCACTAAGGACAAGCGTCAAAACGGTATTTATTCATTGTCATCATCGTCATCATCATCACTACCGTATGCTCCAAGCCCTAAGCCGACACCCAAAGATCCACCATCCTTTCTCTCATCCTCGTCCCCAGATTTTCTAACATTCTCTTGTAGCTTGGTCGCCTCTCCCTCTTGGCTACCACGCTTTCCTTGATCACCAGAACCAGAAAATCCTTCTACACCACTCCGTGCGCCATCCAGATCATTAGAAACAACTTTCGCGGAATCAACTTTAGCTCTAAAATCGGCCGCTTTATGTGGAGCCCCTCCGGACTTGGCTTTTGGTTTCGCCTTGAGCTGAACCTTCACGCCCAGACGAGGCATGAGTGGGAGATCCGGCTCCTTTCGTTTCCGAACAGCAGCCACTATGGAAGAACCAGAAGAGCCGGGAGCACCAGTTGCTTGTGCCGTGGCCAACTCAGGAGTGGCATGAGTGGAATGGGAATCAACAGTGACTGTTCGGCTCAAGAGCGCGGCCTAGAGGATAGTCCACAATGGGGTGTGACAAAAAGGAGAAAACGTGACATTTCAATCACACAGAGGCGAAGGCCATATTTGTATGCATGGGAAGACACATGGGAGATGCTATTAGGGGTAACTGAGCAGTGCACTCAAGCAGACCATTTTCTAGTTGACTCAAATGACAAGGATAGCACAGAGGGAAGACACTCTTGGGGAAGAACAGAAGAACACACACTCGGCCATGCAGATGAAAACTGGCGTTAAGAGTACGAGCGTGAGGTACACACCTGAAACTCTGACAGTGCACGCTTGTCTTCGTCGTCTTTCTCCTTTTCGTCCTCCCTCTTCTTCTGCAAGCCACAAAAAATACAATTTTCAGGTCAAATTGGTAGCGCACTTTCATTTGCACAGGTTGCATGTGCTTCTCCTTCTCAATCTCCCCAGTGCAGGCCTTCTGACAGTCGCTTTATGAATTCCCATGTAGCTGTGGAGTTACCTCCAATACGGCTGTGGTGTGGTGTGGTGTTGCACTGACTGACCTGCGCCAACGAACTCACGAATCTGCGAGACAGCACCTATCTGCTGCTCTGCTCTGCGGTTCTGATGGGTTCGATTGAATCACTGACTGACCTATTCTGCGGCTCTGATGGGTTCGATTGAATCACTGACTGACCTATTCTGCGGTTCTGATGGGTTCAATTGAATCACTGACTGACCTACACTGCGGTTCTCACAGGTTCAATTAAATCTGACTGACCTACTCTGCGGTTCTGATGGGTTCAAGTGAGTCACAGACTGACCTGCTCCACGGCCTAGAGAAACTCCAGCTCGGCTTCATCCAATGCCCTTGGTGGGCCTGATGGGGTCACACACACACAGCACCTAGGGGCTGCTCTTCTGTGCGGTTCTGATAGGTTCAGTGCGGTTCAAATGTGTTAATGACTGACCTGCTCCACGGCTTCGAGAAACTCCAGCTCGTCCTCATCCAATGCCCTGGGTGGGCCTGATGGGGTGAGACACGGCATTACAGAGCACAGCACCGCACACCACCATGCAGCACAGCACAGAAGAGCACAGAAGAGCACAGCACCACACCACCCCATTGCACGGCGCAGCACAATCCAACAGAAGAAAGCGCACCAACATAGCACAGTCAAATTTTGAAACGAAGCAAGAATGTGAGAAATGAAGCCAAATGAGGAAACCAGCAGTCTTCAATTTCATGTAAGCAATTAAGCAAATGGGCATGCATGATTGCTACGGTTTGGTTACGTTGGCGTAGTAATACAGACTTGTCGAACCCTGGTTACGAATCCCCCAGAGGAGTTTGGCTTACGGTTTTTGAATTTCTCCTTGTGCTCCGCTTCTTTCTTCTCCTTCTGCTCTTTCAAAATCTGGAGAGAGAGAGAAAAAAAAACAGAAACAAAAAAACAAAACAAAACAAAACAAAACAAAACAAAACACCAAACGAACAAATCGACCAACAAAACAACAAACAAGAACACAAAACAACCACAAACGAACAAAAAAATCTTGAAGCCGGCTTGCCAAACAATCGCAACAGATGTAATGCTTGCAGCGAGAACGATCATCGGGCCTGCCACGACAGCAGCATTGCCATACCACGTACATACATTGGCTTGTCTACCTACCCAAACCCATCCTACACTTCTAGAACCATCAACGACCGTGTGGTTACCATACATTGCATCCTTGCAACCGTTACAGTTTCATCACCACACTTCATACAGGGGCTTGTCCACCGTTACAGTGCCATCCTTTCCTTAGAGTGTCATTCATACATTCCGTTACAGTGCCATCGCCATACCTCATACAACGGCTTGTCCACCGTTACAGTGCCATCTTCCACCCTCTCCCCCCTCAGCCGTTTGTTCTCCTCTAACTGCACATTGTGAAAGAGGCAGGGTGGGACAAAATAGGGAGTGTGGTGCAACGGGGTGTGACACAATGCTTCAGTGACACGAACGGGGGTGAGATACAATGGGGATGTGACAAAAAGGGGAGTGTGACACACCAGGGGGGTGCAACAAAAGAGCGGCAGGGAAATTGAGAGAGTGAGAAGGGGGGCGGGGAGGAAAAGAAGGGCGGGAATTGAGAGTGGAAAGAGAATGGAGAAGTAACGGAGGTGAAATCTTGCGGACATCTCCTATAATGCCTCTCAAAAATTCATCGGCTTTTGAGTCGACTCAAAAGTCATATCGTATAAAGACTCTCAAAAAGTCATCGGCTGGTGGATAAGAATATAGTGTGTCCAGCTGAAGGTGGACCAAGAGTAGAAAGTGTCAGGTAAATCAAATTTAACAACACAATGCTTTTAGTACTATTGAGAGTACACCAATTAATTATGGACCTTGGTATCTACTAACCTGAGTTTCGGATATGAAATTCATCTTGTCGGCAACGTCAAACTAGTGGAAGAGCTTCTGGTAACAGTTGTTCGCCACAGTAACAGGTGATCGCGAAACGCAGTCGTTGTCGCAGAAGAGCGAGAGAGCAAACGCGGAACGCTTGCGAACGGTAAGCTCTGGAAGCTTCTGCACAGCCTTGGGGCCGGCGCCAAATGCGCAGATGGAGCTTGAAACGAGAAACGCTAACTATGTTCCAAGGTGCTCCGAAAACAGACGTTAGATGCGCTTGATGACGCCCTGGCGCCGTGCCTGAAGCGAGAAACGCGCTGAGAGACAAGAAGCGGGGAAACGTTCGTGTGGCCTTCAACGGAAAATGCGCTGACGGGGAGAAGTCCTCAACACACTTGAGTGACGAGATTCAAGCCACGCGTTTAGAATCAGGTAACTAGGTTCCTAGGTACATAACCGAGGGAACTGCTTTGATAGATCTTGTTATGTGCTGCACCACTATTGATACAAGCAAATGTTTGAAACAAAAGCACATCTACATCTCCCGTTCACCTTGTACATTACTAGAGATATATCCAGGGTTTTCTAGACTTTGAAAATATTTTCTCCATAGATAAATATTACCCTGGATTAGGTTCATCTGGGTTGGTGAAATAATATAGCTGATTTGTTTTGAAGCATTTCGTCTTTATTTACATGATATATAAAATATATGCACAATGAATACAAGAAGTGAGCACAGGTTGTGTGTCATGAGTTGTAATGGAGAGTGCGCGGAATAACGAATAACGAAGCTGTGACTTAATGAACTGTCGATTACAATGAAGGCACGCGACTATATAGTGAATACCCTAGCTAGGAGGGAACCTCGGGAAACGAGGTTGGGTGCAGGTTTGGCGACAGAAAGCCGAAGGCGACGCGGAGGAGCCTCGGCATCGTTGATGTCGGCCGAACGTGCAAGTCCGAAAATCGGGGTTGTACGCGTAGCAGTCAACCCCGTAAAGGATAAAGGAAAAATCCTTACACTACCCCCCCCCCTTAAGCAACGTGGTCAATATCCGCAACTCGCTTGCGGGCGAAATAATCACCAAGAAGCGGGGAAGTTCAAGCGATGCGGATGGCACCCACGTGTCATCCTCACTGGTGCGGTCAGTCCATCGGACTAGAAAGTCCACGTGGCGTCCAGTGGCGTTGAGCCGGATCCGATGTCCGAGAATCTTCGAGGGGTCGGTGGTCGGTTCCGGGACAGGTCGAGCTGTCGGGGCGGCGTTCTGGCGCGCAATGTCTGTCGTGGCAGGCACGAAGTAGCGAAGGAGGCTGACATGGAAAGCGTCGTATATACGCCAGTCGTCGGGTAGTAGCAGCTTCGCCGTGACAGGTGTCGCCATCTGGATGATGCGGAAAGGCCCACAAAATCGTGGCCGCAGTTTGTTCGAGCCGGGCAAGCGTAGGTTTTTCGTGTCGAGTAGCACTAGTTGCCCAGGCGTCATGACGATTTCTCGTCGTAGAAGATCCGAGTATTTCCAGGCAGTAATATTCGCCTTGCGAATAGCGTCGGCTGCTTTCTCGCGGATCTCCTGAAGTTTTGTCACAAATGTTTGTGACCGTGGGACCGGGTTGTCGAGTGTCGTGGTGGTTGGTACCACCGGGTCCATCCCATAATTCAGGAAGAATGGGGAGTGATTAGTCGTGCTAAGCGGTGCGTTGTTGAACGCGAACTCCAGCATGGCGAGTGATGTGAAAGATAGAAAACGAGAATGGACAAACTAGCAGCAAAGTGGGTACAAGTAGGAAACCCTAAATGTGTTGTACCCCATATGAGCTACCCCACTTCAGCCTACACAGACTATAGCATATAAGTTTGACACACCCCCATAGGCAAAGTGGGGGAGAACAAGAGGTCACAAGACCAGTCAAGAAAAGCAAAGCAAGCTCAGGGTGGATCACTAAGTCACCACGCATTCTGAGCACAAGCAAATGGCCACAAGGCCAGTTCACATGCAGAGTTATATAAAGGAGAACAAGCAATACAGTGATCACAACCTAGCAAGTGTAAGCATGCAGGCATTGTCAGAATGTGATGTTTGTCTAGCCTGCAGTGGGGTACTCTATAGCGAGTACAGCCCAATTAGGGTTTCCTATATGTATCTCAACTGCTGCTAGTGAAATCCCCTCTTTTTTCGTGTTTATCGTTTTAGCCTGCTGTTTCGACATGCTATCAGAGCAGGTCGACCCTCCTGGGTCGATCCTGTGGGTGGGCCCCACCCAATGCTTCCGCTGCGGTTTCCTGCTGTCCCCTGCCTGCCGCGCGCTCCGGGCGCACGACGATTTTTCATCCCGCCGCGCGCTCGGGGCGCGCCGCGATTTTCTGCCCCGTCGAACCGCGCGTCGCCCCCTGTCGACCGTCGCGTCGCCCCCCGTCGCCCGACGCGGCCCGCGCGACCTGCGCCAGGCCCGCGCGCGACCCGTACGGGCTGCGCCAGGCCCGCGCGCGGCCCGTACAGCCCGCGCGCGGCCCGTACGGGCTGCGCCAGGCCCGCGCACGGCCCGTATGGGCTGCGCCAGGCCCGCGCGCGGCCCAGGCAGCCCGCGTGCGGTTCGTCCCGAGCTTCTGACCGCGCCCCACCCCCGCTGCTGCCCGCGCTCCTGTGTTAGGGTTTGGGGGTGGAGAGTATGGGGGTGCCGGGTGTGTGAGCCGTCCCCTGCTCCTCCTCCTCCTTCGTCTCCCACTGCTGCAGCTGCCGCTGAGGGGGGTGGATGTGTTGGAGCCGTCGGAGTGGTACGAGGGGGGTGGCGTGTGAGCGGTGCTAGTGGTTCAGCAGGGAGTGTGTGAAAGGGGTGTGGGACAGTTGGGGGAGGTTGACAGGAGGTGGCCGTTGTGACGTCTGCAGCGCCAGTAGTCCGGGGGTTGAGTACTCCGGTAGCCCAGCGAGCCTGCTGCTGCCAGTCGCCCGTGGGTCTGTTGCTCCTGCTGCTGCTTAGCGCGGAGGCAGTTACTCCTGTAGTCCGGAGGTTGAGTGCTCCGGTAGCCACCGTGCGCGCCGTTCCTGTTGCCCGTGAGTCTGCGGCTTCACCAGACGCCTCCTATCTCCACTCCTCTCATAGTTCCTCCTCCTCCTCACTTGCCCACTGTGACTGCCTCTAGCTTTGCTTGTATTTGTGAACCTACTGCTCTGCGTGCTTGCTGTGCTGATTATACCCCACTTTGACTATGGGGGTGTGTCAGAATGTGATGTTTGTCTAGGCTGCAGTGGGGTACTCTATAGCGAGTACATCCCAATTAGGGTTTCTTATATGTATCTCAACTGCTGCTAGTGAAATCCCCTCTTTCGTGTTTATCATTCCTGCTGCTTGATTATGACAGGTATATGTATAGAGATCACAGTACAAGCAAAGTCAAGAAGTGAGCAAGTGAGGCCAAGTGGGCACAAGGCCTAGAACAGTACAGAAACGCTGATGATCACAAGGCTGAAGTGCCTTGGTGAAGATATCAGCATTGTTGGCCCGAGTGGCCACGTAAGCAAGACGAAGCTGACCACGCTGCTGCAACTCTCGAGCAAGGAAGTAGCGCAGAGCGATGTGCTTCGTTCTGTGCTCCATTCTGTGCTCCTGACACAAGGCAATCATGGCCTTGTTGTCGACGTACAGAACTGGAGGAGAACGAGGCGGCTCTCCCAGGTCGGTCAGCAAGTAGGTGAGCCAGCGAACTCCTGTGCAGCCATGGCCCCTGCATAGATCTCAGCCTCACAGCTGGAGTTGAGAACAGAAGACGAGCAGGCAGACCGCCACGAAACAGAGCCGGTGCCAAGGCTGAAAGTGTAACCCTGTGACGACCGCTGCGTAGCCAAGTCGTCAGCCCAGGAAGCGTCTGTGTGACAAGTGAGGACACATCGAGCCCGTCCTCCAAGCACTAGCCCCATGCCCGACGTACTGCACAAGTAGCGCAACACCCTCTTAGCGGCATCCATATGCTCCTTCCGGTGTCTCCCAGGAGCAACATAGCGTGCAAGGATGCTAAGAGGGTAGGCAAGGTCAGGTCGAGTGCAGGTCATCAGGTACATGAGGCAGCCCACAAGCTCTGGATATGGGCCACTCGGCTCTACGGACTCATCCGAAGGCAGAGCTGAGAGCGAGTGGCGAGTAGGCAGAGGAGTGGACTGTGGCGAGGAGTACGTGAAGCCGAAGCGCTGAAGGACCTGCTGCACCATGTGTGACTGAGTCAAGGTAATGGTGCGCTGTGCCCTGTCCCGGGTGATCTGCAAGCCAAGATAGCTGCGCAGCTCACCCAGGTCTGTGCACGTGTGTCTCTTCTGCAGCTCAGACTTCACGTGGGCGAGTCCCTCAATGTCAGCGGTAGCAAAGGCCAAGTCGCCGACGTACACGAGGATGTAGAACGGCGGCAGAGAGGTGTCGGTGCGTAGAAACAACGACGGGTCAGCAGTGGAAGGAGCAAACCCAAGAGCCGCAAGCGTCGTCCTCGGTGTGTCGTGCCACTCGCGGGGCGCCTGGCGGAGACCGTAGACTGGCCGCCGGAGGCTCCACTGGGTACCAGCAGGAAACAACCTAGTGAAGCCAGGTGGGCAGCGCAGCCAGATCTCCTCGTGCAGGCTGCCCTGTAGGAAGGCTGTGCTGAAGTCAAGAGAGTGGAGCTCGTAGTCACGCTGAGCGGCGATGTGCAGCAGCACCCGAAGAGTGGTCATCTTCGGGGTAGGGGAGAAGGTCTGGAAGAAGTAAACTCCCTCACGCTGACTGAAGCCTCGTGCAACGTAACGCGCCTTGAAGACAG